GACTCACTTGATACACAACGCCTTTCAATTGGTCACGTAAGTGTATGTGTGTGTATGTGATTGTGGGTCTGTGTGAGAGAACAAGAGACAATGATGTCTGAATGTCTTGTAGTTAGACATGAACAGTTTGTATTATCCTACCTGAAATAGCACCTAACCTTTCAAATATTCTTGCGTGTCTCTAAAGGGCAGGTCATCTGTCACTTGATAAAGCTTTAGATCTGATTGGTTACCTGCAATTGGAGACACACACGGTGCCTCTCCTCCAAGGACTGGGCTATCTGGAGGCCTTTTACCGGATGATTGAGAAAAAGAATGAATTTGATCTAACACGCAACCTGGGGGTAAGTAGACAAGAGTAGACATTTACTATGGTATTCAGTTAGTATGAAATGCAGCTTAAGTTTAGACGCTGTTTCTTTGTGTGCTTTGTTGCAGATGTACATGCTGCGATTTTTCCGAGCTGTCATTGACCAGCAGACGTGGAGCGACAGCGGCTCTGTGTCAGAGCGACGGCTGAGGTCAGACGTCCTCTCACTGGCTTGCCACCTGGATGATCCTCCCTGTCTGGACCGGGCACGCCAGAGCTTCAAAGACTGGCTTCAGTCCAACGGTACCCTCAAGTATGTCTGTCTAAATTATATTTTAACACAGATCATTGTCAGTCAACAACCACTGATATGATCACATAAACAGCAGATACTCCCTGTGCTAGGGTGGAGCATATAATTTGATATTTTGTCATGTCCCTAATATGCATGTCTCCCCTTGTGTTTACCCTAGCTTGCCCACTGACGTGGCAGAAACAGTGTATTCAGTTGGAGCTCAGGATGACCACGGCTGGGCCTCACTCTTGCACACATACAACATCTCCCTCTCTGCAGCACAGAAAAACAAATTCCTGTTTGCCTTGACCTGCAGCAGAGATGCAAACAAACTACATAGGTACATCTTCTCCCTATTGCATTTTGCACATAGGTAATGCTGCCACCAAGTGGCAAATGTGGGGTATTGCGTCAGAGTGCTAACAGATATCCAATATTTTTTCTGTGTATTTTTACAAATGTGCTGAACAACTTTCAGTGTTGTGCTGTCAAGTAATGGAAGGTAATGTGGCATTAATAGAGCAGATTCAATTGTGTGTGTTTGTGTTGCAGACTGCTGGAGTTGGGTCTGGAAGGGAAGATGATTCGATCCCAGGACCTGTCCAGTCTCATCCTGATGGTGGCCAGGAACCCGCAGGGACATCACCTTGCCTGGAACTTTGTCAAAAAAAACTGGGACACACTGGTTGAAAAGTTAGTACAACATAATGGAGACACTGTGAATGATGTATTGCTATAAGTTAATCCATGTGCTGCTATGAAAATGCAGCTTTCCTTACCATTTTAGAACATTACAATAATATTGTGTCATGCACATATACTCACATGTGGTCTTGTGAGTTAGATTCAAGAACTTTGTGTAAACCAGTTAGACCTGCCTTTTTAGTGGCTTCCGTGCCATTCAGTAGTTGTGGAACAGGTTTTAGATTTGATAAAGACCTGGTTAACTACAAGCACAACACAACAGGTAGTTGATTCCACAACTAAGCGATATTAAGTCTGTGACTTTCCTCTCTGTTGTCTTTCTGCTCCTCAGGTTCCAGTTGGGCTCATTTTGTATTAGAAACATCATCATTGGTACCACAGGCCAGTTTTCATCTCCAGAGGAACTCGCTGATGTAAATGCACTCTTATATTTCAAACTAATCCATATTCTACATGGCAATTTAGAGATGCGCCAATATTTCAACATGCTATTGTTATTGCATTGTGTTAGCAATATCGGCAAATATTAGTGATAGTAATGATAGTTATCGATTAAATCAAAGTCATCTAGTCTTAAAAAAACACTTGTCTGCAATGTCTGAGAAACCTAACCTGTTTTGCACCTTATACTTAGACCCTTACAGAAATGCAAATTGTTTTCAATTGTAAAATAGTGTGGCACTGACACAAAAATAATCTATAAAACTATAAGCACTAACAAATGTGTGCTAACCTTGTAGCAAACATAATTGTGACTTTAACTGAAAGAGGTCTCAGTCTAATTGTCATTTGTTTGTGTGTGTTTTTTGTAAATGAATGTGTGTTTGACCTCCAGGTGCAGTTGTTCTTCGAGTCCATCAAAGAACAGGCTTCTCAGCTGAGAGCCACTCAGGTTGCCCTGGACAACATGCAGAAAAATCTTCGCTGGTTTCAGAGGAATCTAGAGACTCTGAGAAACTGGCTTAACAAGCAAATGCAGTGAAAAACATCAGAAAGAGGTTGATGATAGATGCCAGACAGGCGATATTTTTGAATTTGTAAGTGTTTTTATTTGCAAATTGCACTGAAGAGTTGACAGTTTTGTATATGAAAAGGAATTTTGTAAATTTTCTGGGGACTTAATTGTTAGACAAAAAACAAAGAAATGGAATTGGTAGAACTGCCAGCTGAGTAGTAGTCGAGTGTGTGAGGAGCTGTGTGTTTACCGTGACCTTTGTGTTGTCTGTGTGTGTGTGTGTATGAGAGAGAGAGAGAGATTCATTCCAAAGTGACACTCAAATGCTGTGTAAATGGATTCTTTAAACTGACAATTAAAGGGTTCATTATACCTCCTGATACCTTTGTGTGAGTTGTGAAACTGAAACATATCCTTGTGTGAAGTACTGAACTATTGTGGGTGCGTTCCTGTGCTTGTGTCTCTATGTGGGCTGGTAAATTCATCATAAATCAGCTTGCACATCAGAGGGGATTTAGAAGATGGTATACCCAATGCTGAATGAAAAATAAGTGGATATATATATACAAGTGGGTTGAAATTAAACATTTTTACATTGATTAGGGTCAGTTCAATGAATGCAGAACAATACAATGTCCTCATAAGTTTTTTTCCCCAAAACTTTATTTAACTTTTCAAAAATACTTACAAGTTTTCTCAAAGGGAACATAAATTGCATTTATACAACAAAACATTTATCGTCTCTCAATTACCAAAAAATAAAATCTACAAGGCTTTGTTAAAAATTCTAATAATAATAATAATAATAAAAAGAATTAAAAAAGATAGATAAGATTAATAAGATTAAAACTAAAAAATAAAACAAATACAGCAAGGCAAAAACCAAAAACAAATAAATGCAAGATTACAAATCAAGGCATCCACTCTTACTGAGACTCCTCTACGCCTGACACACAGCAGCCTCTATCAGCCCACGAATTCCTTCATATTCATCTGCCAGTAAACCCAAGGCATCGAAGTACTTGTTCAACTCATTTTTAAAACACATCAATGAGGGTGATCTACCTTTCCACTTACAAGTGTGTATGTGATATTTGCCTAAAAAAATAATTATATTGGGGGACATTTTCATTGTATACCAAAATTTGATCCTTATTAAAGGGTGTGATGTTATACATGGATTGCCAAAACTGGGTCACTACCGGACATGAATAAAAAAGGTGGTCCATAGTTTCACTATCTGACTGACAGAAACCACATGGCTCCACCTCGAAACCAAATCTTCTTTTTAATGTGTCTGCAGCTGGATAATAACCATTGATAATTTTAAATTGTAATTCTTTTGCTTTTGGGGAGATTGGCCATTTCATATATTTAACATGCTTGTTTGAGATTTTTGAGTTGCTCTCGCTTGTTTTAATATTTATAGCTCTTGCAAGATCATGAAAAATAATTTCTTTAAACTTCATGACTTTATTGCTGCAATTTTTTATCTCCAATTCAGATTTGTCCAATTCGAATATCTGGTAAGATTATCCTTACTTCTGAATGTGAAAGTGTGTTTTGAATTTGCTGGATTAAGGGAGCTGGTATTGCATGACATATTTTACTTTAATCTCTATAGGAGCACTGTATATAACATTTTTCTTTGAAGGAATCAAGTTTAATGATCGACCCTTGATTATCCATCAGGTCAGCTACAAATATTATTTCTTGTTACCAACCATACCAAGTTCATGTAAATAGAGTTTTTCTATTTATTGTGATTGTTATTCCATAAGGTGGAGCCATGCGGGCTAAAATTATGTGTAAAAAACATTTTCCAGTAGTGTAATACTGGCTTATGAAATTCAGATAGTTTTACAGGCAATTTTGTAACAATGTCCTCATAAGTGATAAGCAGCGGTCGTCAAACTGGGGTCCCTGGACCCCCGGTGGTCCGCAAGCCATAGCTTGGGGGTCCGCAAAATAATTTGCAATAAATTATTAAAGTTATGTCGTATCATTAAAAATTGCATAAGTACACATAGGAACCACTCTGCAAATAGTAGCCTTTCCTCGAGAATGTGTTGATTTTTCAATTGTTGGTTTTATATAATCCCTTACAGCGATTTAGCCATGAAACCTGAAAAATTAACTGTGTTCATTAGGACTTTGCCAGTCTTGTTACTGTTCATTTTTTGAAAGCTTTAAGATCTGTTACTTGAAAATTAGATATGCTGTGATGCAAAATGTAATGAATAAAAAATGACCCTGTGTTTAAAAGTATAGAAATGGTATTAACATTTATTATTCAAATTTAATTTAAGTTAATTTCTATGAAACCCGCCTTAAGTATTAGGTTAAAACTTTAAAATATAATAATATAATAATAATAATAATACATTTCATTTAAAAGAGCGCTTTTCTGATACTCAAAGACACTGTAGAATATAATAAAAGAAGAATAGAAGAACATCAATAGGTAAAAAACATATAAAACAGTACATTACATATGTTAAAAACACATATAAATAATTCCTACTGCATCTAGGAGTACAAATGTCAGTAAACATATGTTTAATCGGCATGAGGATTATAAGGGGGGCCTTGGAAAGTCCTCTGTAAAGTGTCCTTGGCCCCAGAAAGTTTGACAACCCCTGATGTAAAGAGTGCTGTGAAGTGTTGTGCGCCTTGGCCCCGCCCCCTCCGGCAGTAACATCCAATAGGATGTCAGAATGGTAATTTGATGGGAGGTTGTCAACAACTGGTCGGGGGAGGAAGGAAAGTGTCTTTAGTTTACCGATCATATTAGGATAAGATTTGTTTACATACTGCCTATCGTAGGGTCCGGTGGTGGTTTAGGGTTAGGTTCAGGTCTTATCGCACAAAAACAGCAATGGGCGATACAGTTATGGAAATAAGCTAACGTTAGCACAGCTGAATGTCTGTCAGTCAGTCACAATTGTTAGAAGTTAGCGACTACGTAGCTAACGCTGGTACAGTCAGTGGGGATAGGCTGCTGTTTATTGAGAGCGTCTGATAGCCTGCGGTGGGTTGTGGCCAGCGAGAAAATACCATCCACCTTCTGTCGAGTCGAGCTGCTGCAACTGCGAAGAGGTTTCCCCTCGTTTCGGACACCGAGGGGGCTGTTGGAGATATCCCACCATGGATCCATTTGACAGCAACAGTACAGGTAAGGAAGGGAAGAGGGGTTTGTGCACTTCCCAGCGAGCTAACTACAGCAGCAGGCCAGCTAATAACTAACGGGACATTAGCAGCAAGCTCCCTGGGAGTGACATTCACCCGAGGACACATGTTGAGAGGGGGTGGGTTTGACTTTTTCACCAGCTAAAGGAAGGCTAGCTTTAGTGACTGGTTTTCTTTTCGCTTGCTTTTGTTTTTGTTTTGCTCTCCTTCACAGTTGAGGGATTCTCAGAAGCTAAGTTAATCGCAGTCCTCCCCCCCCCTGCACGGTCCTGCAGTGGGATGATAACGTTTTTACTGCACATCGTTTTCCCCCTGCTGTTTGTGAATCTTTGTAGTTTATTTACGTAATGTTTTGATTTTATTTGAACTGAACAAAGCTAACGACAAATGCATAAGAGCTTGCACACTGCCTGTCCTGAAACATAGTGTTAAGACTCCAGTTGTCATTCAAAACACAGCAGCACTGTTTGCCCAGTTCAATTCAGTCTGTTGGTTTGATAATAGTTGTGTTTTGTCATGGTGTGGAGAGCTGATAAGTCATGCTCAGCTCAGGCAGCCAGCAGCTTTATAACCTCTGCTATGGTCCCAGGGCGACTGAGGCTTTATTAAAACAAACAAAAGGGCCAATGCACACACTGCAACAGCTCCCAGGAAAGCTGAGTGCTCTCCTCGCTGGATGTTATTTTATTCCATCTTGGTCTCAATCAGAAGTAGAAATCACCAAATCACAGCAGTAAGACTTCCTGTTTTTGCGTGTGTGTTCTTGGTCGTTGGGTGACTTAGTGATTTTATAGTAAGTAAGTCACATTTCACAAGCCCGTTGTGATCAGATAATGATGAGTAAACATAAGCAGTCGCTTCCTTCCCATTAATTTTTAATGACCAGCCAACCAATGACAGGATTGTGGTCAGTGCTTTTATGTAGTGTCTCTTGTTATCTGTGCTGGGTGAAATAGAGGAAGTAAACTCTAACGCATATATTAAAGTGCATTTCTGTGACTCCAAGGTAGGGCGATGCATGTTTTAGACAGGAAGAACACAGTCAGCAGCAACATGCCTCACTTCTGTATTTACATATAAGCTCGACGAAAGTGAAAGAGTGGTTGGTTCTTAACATTTGCCTGGTGTTTTTTTCTAATTGTAATTTAGATGATAACCACCACATCACCTGCCTCTCTCATCCGTCATCTTGCTTATATAAAATAGCTTTCGATATAATATTTCAACAACGTCACCCAGCTGTTAGCAGTAGATAATATGACTATCATTATCGATTGAGTTTGATATGTTTTTTTAAGGGTCCTATTTTCCTCCTCTGCACATTACACATTACCTACTACTTAGCTCTTAGCCTATTAATAGACAGTCATACCACAGCAATGTGGTCCAGATAGAGACACAGTGACAGCCTATACTGTAATATCAGAAACACTGTACAGGACCGACAAGGGACTATATTCACCTCATTCATTTCTGGTTCATGTCTTCCTTGTGGGGAGCTAAAGATCACCGTTGTTTGCTGTCATTGTTTCTGTATGTGCAGTTAGTTGGTGTTTACTGTCTCTTGGTGCTTTCCACATCACCAACTGAGACTGAAAATGCATTGTCTTTAGCCCGTAAAAGCATGAATGGAACGTGAGGCAAAAAGGGGAGATTTGCTTTGCATTGGTTTTTTTTTTTTTTACTACTTTCGTTATTATTAAATTAGGAAGTTGAACATGCCCCTGATTGTTTCTGGAATTACTGAGGGAATTTTGTTAGACAAGGGATAACTCTTGTCGCGGTTTGGAAGATGCAGGTTAGTTTGTGGTAAACTGCAGTATCAAGTGACATGGACAGATAAGGAATATTCATTGTATTTCCCTGCCGCTAAATGAACTGTGAACATATTTCGTAATACCAGTACTTCGAAGCCAGAACTCATTCTATGTAGGTCAAAACACCAGGAAACGCTGTAGGTTTTACTAACAGGAAACTGAAGAAACTCAAGTCAGTGCTTTGTTAAACAAGGGTTCATTGACTGCACATTCAGGGACAATAATAAGCTTTTGTGTTTAAAAATGGCTTGTTGCCACTGCTCTTGTGTGGAAAACTCCAAAAACACAGCACATATGTTAACATACAGTACTGTTTGTGTGTGTGTGTATAACCATTTGGATTATGTCCTGTCTCTCTCTCACTTCCCTCATTTCCCCTTCTGAGAATCATCTGTGTGATTTCTCTTCCTCTGCAGAGCGAGCCAACCTGCCGAGGAACATGATCGAGAACAGCATGTTTGAAGAAGAGCCTGATGTGGTGGATTTGGCAAAAGACTCAGCTGCATTTCCGGTATCCTCATATCATCTTAGGCAATGCATCCTCAGTGTGCCTTCACAAGAACCAGCCTGACTCAATTTATTTAATTTGCATATATCAGAATGCGTCTCACAAGTGCTTTCATCTTTAATGAGAACAGAACTATATAAATACATTTCGGCCATCGAATCAACTGAAATTTGTGGGTAGCTGCTGATTCTTATCTGTACACTGGTCTGTAGATTATTTCCGATCTGTCAGCTGTAACTATGTATAGTCAACATTGTGAGAATTACTTCTAGAAAAAAGGTACTTAATTTCAGACTGACAATGATGCTGTATCTTCAGTGTGTTAACAGTATCAATATCTCTCCTTCAGTGCTACAATGAGTCATTTTCCCCATTCAGCTTCTGTTAGTACAGATACATTGTATTATAAATCAGTATAAACAAAGTCTTATAAACCTTAATTTCATCCCCCAATCCCCAGTACCTCTATTCATCAACACACCTTTTCCTACATTTAATTTCCCTTTGAAACAACCCTAACGCTCTGCAATCATTATGATTTACCTGTCATCTGTGCCCTGTTTTTTGTTGCTGTTGCTGATATTTTCTATTATTCCTGTCTCTGCTCTCACTCTCCTCACCGCCTCCGCATATGACATCTTACCCTGTGTTAATTAATTTACCTGGGAAAGCAAACCACTTGTTAACATTATATGGTAAACACTGCGTAGCTTAACTGGATAATAACAAAAATGTACTGTACATGCTCTCTCTAGACGTTTCCTGCTCTTGACCCAGATGAGGTGGTGTATGAGCCTCGTAGCTCACGGTTGCTTGTGCGCGGCCTGGGAGAGAATGACATGGACGAAGATGAAGAGGACTGCGAGTCTTCAGCCCGTCTGCTGGGCATGTCTTTCATGAACCGCAGCTCTGCTCACAGATCCAACTCTTCCCCCTACACCAGACAGGCTCCACCCAGGTAATACACTGAAAAGGTCATCATTCGGGATGCTGTACAGTTTGTTGATAGAGAAAAATCTCTTTCCAGTGTGGTATGCCCTTGGCAGTATCACGTATTATCATATGCAATAGCTTTTATGATTGGTTTGTGGAGTCTGGTGATATATAAATGTTGAATTCAGAGGAATGTATTGAAATAATAAATAGCCAAGCTTCATGTCTTACACATGGTGCAGATAAAGGAGTATTTCCCAAACATTCACACATTAAGATGCATGGAAAAGGGTTTTAGTCTGCTGTAGCACCACCGTCTACATCTTTTTCATAAATGCTGCTTCTTCTTTTCACCTTGTATTTGTAAAAAAGTAAGTAAAGTAATGTTAAACTCCTTTTGGTCTCAGGTCATGTTCACGGCCCTCAGCCCGTACCATGGTCGTATGTGTGTTATTCCTGGTCATAGTGGCCTCTATGACCATGGTACTGTACTTCTTACCTGGATGCACCTTTACCAAGGTAAGAAAAATACTCACCAGTTCTCTTTAGGTAGTTTTTGTGACCATGTGTTGATAGCTTAACGTGACTCTTTCAACATATTATGTCTATATCTCAATGAGATTATCAATTATTGATTGATTATAACTATCATACCCGTTTCTCTGGATAACCCCAACCCTCCATCCTTCTGCAGACGGGTTGTCGTAAGGAGAACAAGACCACGCCCATCGAGCCACCCTTTCCATGGACACAGTTCCGGCTGCCTCATAGCATACGTCCTCTCAGCTATGACCTCACCCTGAACCCTGACCTTGATAATATGAACTTCACCGGCAGCACTGTTATCAAAATGGTTGTCCTCCACAACACCAAGCGCATTGTCCTGCACAGTGCTAATCTCAACATTTCGAAAGCTACCTTCAAGGTGGGATGGGAAGGAGTTTGTGTGCTGATGACAGACATGATTGGCATTCTTTGATGTGTAAAGCCTGCCTGACTATTGCTTTTGTTAGGTTGTCTGTCAGTTGTTTACAAATACTTTCTCTCTTCCAGCTGGGTGATGGGGAGGCCAGTGATATGACTGTACTGGAGTACAAACCCAGACAGCAGATAGCTCTTAACTTCTCAGAGGAGTTGAAGGCGGGACAGTACTGTGTTTTGACCCTTGATTACTCTGCTAACCTCTCACACACCTATGATGGTTTCTACAACAGCTCATACACTGATAAAGATGGAAACAAAAGGTACACTTTTTGGCTGTGCTGTAAGTGCTTCACAACAGCTGAAAGATGTGCTGCAGAGTAATGACTTTATAAAAAGCCTGTATGGATCGTGTGTCTTCACAGCTAATCTTGTGACCTTTGGCTCAACTCAAGACTAGACACTAACAAAGCTTTGCTGTAAAGTTAACTTAATAGCAATTAAAACCTAAAAATTAGAGGCTGTTTTATTGTTTTTACAGCATTTATCTAATTTGTAATTTGATTTATATTCATGCTCATCTCCCTCTTGTCCCCAGGGTCTTAGCTGCAACCCAGTTTGAGCCACTGTCAGCTAGGAAGGCCTTTCCTTGTTTTGATGAACCAGCTTTCAAAGCCACCTTCCTGATTAAAATCAACAGAAAACCAGACTACATGACTCTTTCCAACATGCCCAAGGTACCGTAACATGAGTAAAGTCCTGGTTATAATTACAGTATGGTAACAAGTTTTGAAACACACACTTTGTGTGCTAAATGGCCTTTTCAATATTTATTTGGTTGACATAATTCTTGCACACTGATATAAGGGGTATAAGTGTTTGACAGCTAAATCTGAGATTTATCCAAATTTTGAACTACGGTTGGTTTTAATAGTATTTTTCCAAGTACAATTAAACTGTTAGAGTCAGTGTTTGTGCTACATTGTTAGCAATCACAAGCACAGATGTTGGGTATTGACTGTGGTACCAGTGGTTATTAGTATAGCAGGCTGGCGCTGTATACCAAAAAATATGATTTGGCATGTTCACAAAATGGCAGGTTTATGAACTTAAAAGAGTTTTATCTTTGTCAGTGTGCACAGACTCATTCCCTGCACTGCACACTGTAAACTGCAACTGAGCAATAATGTCATGTGTGTCGCCTAGATTGACACAGTTTACAGTACAACATTATGCCATGTCACTCACTCTGATGTATATTGTGGATAATGAGTCATTCCTGTTCCCACTGTAACTAGTAAGCTCTTGGCGTGGGCACAATTAAGCTAATATACCATGTATTGGTTTTTGCCTTCAGCGCTGTATTTCACAAGAGTCTGAGAAGATGCTAAACTGGATTTAGTTAAGACTATACTATTAACATTTGTTGGTTGTAATCGTGTCCTTATTCTGTGTGTTTCAGGCTAAAACCACACCACTTAACAATGGCCTTGTGCAAGATGAGTTTGAAATGACAAGTGTCAACATGAGCACCTACCTGGTGGCTTTCATCGTTGGCAACTTCACCCCTGTCAGCAAAAATGTCTCAGAAACTCTGGTAGGTCTGACCCATATATAACCCTTTTTGCTTTCAGTGCAGGCTGTATGTATATTTAAAATATAGTGTTCAGTGAGGTTGTTGCTGATAAACTGTCTAGATATATGTTTATATATCCATGTCTGTGTTTTAGGTGTCTGTGTACTCTGTGCCAGAGAAGAAAGAGCATACTGACTATGCTCTTGATGCAGCTTCCAAACTCCTGGACTTCTACAATAACTTCTTTGAAATTAACTTCCCCCTCAAAAAACTAGGTGAGTACACACTGGCACTTGCATGTTATTTAATCCTCCTATGATTGTTCTTTCTTGTCTCCTCCCCTCTTTACACACCCCGATATGCTCCCTCTCTTTTTTGTCAGACTTGATAGCCATCCCGGACTTCCTGGCAGGAGCCATGGAGAACTGGGGACTCATCACTTTCAGAGAGACCAGCCTGCTAGTGGGCAAACAGTCCTCACCTCTAGAAAAACAAGTAGTTGCCTCTGTCATAGCGCATGAGCTCGCCCATCAGGTAGTTGTGTTCACCTTTGTGTTTGTGAAAGCAGCAGAGACCGTGAATATGCTGCAGACAATTCCTAATCTATAACTGATGTTGTGTCGCAGTGGTTTGGAAACCTGGTAACTATGAGCTGGTGGAATGACCTGTGGCTCAATGAAGGCTTTGCCACATACATGCAGTACATGTCACTGCAGACAGTTTTGCCCAAGCTGGACATTGTAAGTTTACCCTTCTTGCTCATAAATGAGCCCCTGCATATATTTTGACACAGATAAAGTTGTGTGCTTCTCTGTGTGCCTTAGCAGCAAGCCCTGTGTTTGTTCGCAGGGTAATTTGTTCCTGGCAGTGCGGTTCAGAGCCCTGGACAAAGATGCATTAAACTCCTCCCACGCTGTGTCGACGGCAGTTAATTCACCAGAACAGGTGGAAGAGATGTTTGACTCTGTGTCCTATGAAAAGGTACACCTTTATATATAGTATATAAGTAAATACATAAATGTTCATTAATTCACTGAATCTCCATATCTAGCTGTTTTTCTCAGAGACCTCACACTCCGTTATAACCGTAGTTAGTGCTCTTTTGGGTCTGATCACAGATTTCCTCTGTCTTTCAGGGTGCGTCCATTCTCCTGATGCTGAATGCTTCCCTGCCAGTTGACCAACAGTTCAGAAAGGGTATCATTCAATACCTAAAACAGTTCAGTGGATTAAACACAGACACTAACGACCTCTGGAACAGCCTTACACAGGTGCGTGTGTGTGTGCTTTCTTTGTTTTCTAATGCTATGGACAGCACGTATCAGTAGTTTCACTGATACTTATATCACTTTGGCTACATTTAACACTTAACTTCCCCCTGTAATCCGTCAGCCAGCCATCTGGCTAAAATATACTCTCCCTGATATCAGCTGCATTTGGCTATTTTTACTGTTGCTGCATAATGGGTGATCACAGAGCTCAGGAGCTATATTATCAGCATAAAAGGCAGTAAATGACTTGTGATAATAGTTGATAATGTAATGCTTTATTGATCCTATATGAGCGTTCATCTTTTTTCTTCCTCCCCTTTGAAGGGAGGTCAGAGCGCAGGATACTGTAGGTACAGACAGTAGATTGGATAATTACTGTTAAAAGAGCTTGAAGCCAGTGCCCTCAGTTTAACGGCAGTCTGCCAGCTCATTACTTCCCCCTACTGACAAATTGATGCTTTGCTTGCGCCTGCTTGGTCTTGCACAGGTTATCTGGAACTTTTCCATAATGCTGCCAGTCCTAAAAGTCTGTTAGTGCTAAAAAGACAAGGCATAAAAGACAAAGTTGATTTTGCAGACATCAACGGCTAATCACAAATCATAGAGAATGTTGAGGCTTATATGGTTGCGAAATTTCAGACTACTCCTACAATTATCTTCATTTACTATCTTAATTTATCTTCCTGTCCTCAGGTTGAGGTCTCGACGCAGCACCAGAATGTGTCCGAGATGATGAGCTCATGGACGTCACAAAAAGGCTTCCCACTGGTCACTGTAAGCCGCAAGGGTGATCAGGTGACCCTCACACAGGAACACTTCCTGCTCACATCTGACAATGCCACGCATACTTCAAGGTGGGTTACAATGCCACACACACAGACCATAAAAACACACCACTAACTACTACCCTAACTGTATTCTGCTCTCTCTTTAGCTTGTGGAATATCCCAGTGACGTACGTAAGCGACAACTGTAGTTTGGCCCCTGAGTGCAGACAGTTGTTCACTCTGAAAACCAAGTCAGGTAAAACACAAAGTATTAACCTGCAACATCAGGTCTCATAGTCTCTGGAACTGTGTCAAATGGTAAATTTGTGTGTTTGTGTGTGTTTTCAGGAACATTTAAGCTGCCAGAAAGTGTAAAATGGTTGAAGTTGAACTACAGAAACACAGGCTTCTACATTGTCCACTATGGAGACGATGGCTGGGCTGCTCTTAGAGATGCTTTGGCCAACGATGTCAGCGTTCTTACACACGAGGACCGCGCGTCGCTCATACACAACATCTTTGCTCTCTCCAGGTATAGTGGACAACATAAACAGTTGTTGTTTGAATTGCATTCAGTGACAGGAGAAACTAGTAGAGGAGTATTTTCTAATTCTTACATTTGACTTATTAAAAGCTTTTATTCTCTCCTGTGTTATGAACAGACTGGGACGTGTGTCCTTCCGTCATGTCCTCAACCTGTTGAACTACATATCCAATGAAACAGAGACTTCTCCTGTGACAGAAGCCTTGTTACAGCTCAACAAAATCTACCAGCTGCTTGACAAAAGACACGAGTACAGTCTTGTGGCCCGCATGAAGGTACATACATATACACCCCTACAGTCAGAAATTTAGGTCACAATACATTTTGTGGATAAAGATATACTAAGCCACATGTCTGACAGACACTTGGACATCCAAAACATCCTCAAAAGTTTGTAAAAAAAAATATATGTTTTTAATATGTTGTTGTCAGCATGCTTTATTAGACTGGGAGTAATAATATAATAAGATAATATGGTACGTTTATCAGTGACATAAAGGCAGTAAGGCTGTTTAAGCAGTAAATATTCAGCCATTATATGATAAATACGTTAGTTTGCTTACATTTATAGCTTCAAAGCACAAAGCACAAACCACTTAAACTTACAAATTGTTATCACTGTAACTGTCTGGTTTTATGTAAGCTTTAAAACACACATTTTCATCTAGTTTTAGTGACTTTGTTGTTGGTGAATTTTAGTTATTGTTGCATCAAGGAATCTAGGATATAAGCAACATCCCTGTGCAACATTTATGTCGGTCAGTTTGTAAGATTTAGTCTTCTTGTGATCTGTTTATCTGAGTGTAGTGTTTCTGTGTACTAATGTATGTTTTTCTTCTTGCATATGACAGACTTATATACTGCATCATTTTGGTTCTCTGATGGACAAACAAACATGGGAAGAGCAGGAGAGTGTGTCTAAACAGGAGCTGCGCTCAGCCCTGCTGGAAACGGCCTGTGGTCTAGATATAGAAAACTGCACTCAGCAAGCCAAAGCCCTGTTCAAACAGTATGTCGACTCCAATGGGACCTCACGGTACGTAGAGCATACAAGATACTATTTTTGAGTTGCTTTTCTGGGTCACTGTCAAAGCAGGGTGAGAAGAGCAGCCCAAATATATTTTAATTGATAGAGACAGAAATGATCTTCAGCAAGGATGAGGGAATGTGACTTGTTAAATTGGTAAGAAGTAAACAGAAATTTGGTGCACTTGTAACCTAAAATATGTTTGCATCTTTATATATTTGTGTAGGATTCCAGGCGATCTGCAGCAAGTCGTATTCAATGTGGCTGCTCAATCACCTGAAGATTGGTCGACTTTGCTCAGTCTGTATGGACATGTCACATATGACGCAGAGAAGCGTAAAATGCTGCGGGGCCTAGCATCCACTCAGGACGCACGGAAAATAGTATGGTAAGTGTTTGTGTGTGTCCTGGCACAGGATAAAGCATCTACATCTTTTCTTCCCGTCTGTGGACTTCTTACATTCATCTGATCGAGTCAGTTTCATTTGAAAAAGCTAAAAGAAAGAATTAAAATTTCACTCTCAGATGAGTTCAGGTCCACTGAGAGGCAAAACCTGACCAATCCACCGCACCAGAGCAATTTCTTAGTAAATTACACTTGAATATAAACAAACATGGATTCAACTTATCCTGAACACCCCGAATCAAGTCAAGTAGCATCGATATAATAAAATAGCCTCAAAATGTGACATGTAAATGTAAATAAAAAAATTTAAAAAAAGGGGAAAAAGCCATGTATGCTCCCATGTCATTGTTGTTATCGTGACAGTCCTAGCTCGTTCTAAACAGGTTTGTAATATAACAGTGATTAAAGGGCTTGACAAACTGTTCATTCTCATGTTGTACGGAAGTGATGATAATGAAGTGAGTGTAGTGTCATTGTTGTTTATGTCGGTCTGTCTGTCTATCTAGGATTCTAAAAGCAGGTCTGAAGGGGAATCTCATCCAGACACAGGAGTTGCCTTTGGTCATCAGCACTGTGTGTAAGGGCTTCGCCGGCTACTTGTTTGCCTGGGATTTTATACAAGAAAACTGGGACCGCCTCATAGAGAAGTAAGTGGCCTCTGTTTTAATATTATTTCTCATAAAAATGAAAAGATGAAAACAACATCAGTGTTTTTGGCCGTAGGTTCCCTGTGGGCTCCTTTGCCATCCAGACAATCATCAACTCTGCCACCTCCCAGTTCTCCACACAGGCACACCTTGATCAAGTATGTTTTGTTTTCTCTCAGAATACATTAATGCTGCAGGGTATTTGAGCTTCTGTGCACTTGTTTGTTGGGAGATATTAATTGTTTACCGAATGCTTTTAGTGTGTCAAGTCTGATCTGGCACCTTAATGTTTGTGTGTGTGTTGTGCAGGTGCAGGGTTTCTTCTCCAGTCTGAAGGAGCGCGGCTCTCAGATGAGAAGCGTGCAGGAAGCTTTGGAAACCATCAGGCTGAACAAGCGCTGGATGGAAAAGAACCTGCCTACACTCCAAAAATGGCTCTAACACAGACGCTCCATCCAGTCTCCGCCCCTCTAACAGCCAGCAGGGGCGTGTCGTCAAGACAACAGCAGTGTTTGCACTATTGTAGGACTGTGTCTCTTAACTCCCTTGATCCAGGCCAGAGTATTAATCGAAGCCAGAGGTTGTGCTCTACCTGGGTGGACAAGGTGTTTCATTTTCTGAGATTGGTCCTGTGAGTTGTATTTGCTAGCTCAGGGTGGCTCTGATTGTGTGTCTGACAGGGAGTTGTCAGATGCAAACACACACTCCTCACTCTCAATGCTGTCGACCAAACCTCTCCTCTGCAGCTCCCATCTAAACCTCATGCCCGAGCAGACAATCATGCTTCACCCACACTCCTTTCGCTCAGCCTGCTCTCAGGCACTTAACTGTATGAGCTGTGCAATGGCCACTTCAAAAAGAGCAGGTATGAGGTATTGTTACTGTCTATGTATGTATTGTCAGTCAGTCCAAGACTCTCAACCATCGGATATACAGTATGCAGATGCTGGTGTCAGGGATTCCTCAGCGAGTTCAAATTAACGGTACTTGAGTGATGGAATTATTCTAAGATTTTATCGCTGTGTGATAAGGATCTGTATAGAAACAACAGCTACCCGCCATTCTGAACTCTAGTTACTCGTGTCACCTCAAGCATTTACTATATTATTCATGGTTTGGCTTGAAGATTGGTTGATTGATTAATAGCTTAAAATACCAAATTTGCATTGGCATCAATTGAATGTACTGAAAAACCTTCCCACTGTGTACAGTAGATGGCGTACTGCACAACAGTGCAGCTTTAAATCAACAACCAATGTGTCTTAGGTGAGAGCAGGCAGTGCACACTGGAGCCAAATATTCTTTTTTTTTTTCTCTTCCTTTCTCTACCAGTCATAAACCCGGTTTAGCTTAAGTTTTATTTTAATTGCTTTTTGTCTGCAGTGCAGTCACTGTACAGACTTTAACTCTGTGTGCTTGTAAACTTGTAATTATAATATAAATAGGCTCAACCCTTCAACGTTCTCCCCTGCGATTATGGATGTACTGTTTCAAACATCTTGACTTTTAACATTTTAAGATTTGCTTTGTGTTATGTATATAGAGTGTAAAGAAGAGATGTATACATAGAATTGATCAAGAGTCTTGGTCAAATACCTTTACTGTATTTCTTGATTTAGACCACCCCAAGGAGGTCATTGCTGATGAATGTTTGTGTTTTAAGGGCTAATGTGCATATTGGAGATACAAAGTATATAGAAGAACATCTATGTTGGGCATGACTAATATGTCCCAAAAGCTGTTGCTCATCAGCCAAATACGGAAGGTTTAAAGTTACTCCAATGTTAACTATTTATTGAGAGCGTATCTAAACAGGTCCCCCAACATTGTTCCAGGACTATGTTTAAATACAGTTTTACACTCGTCATGAGTTTTATTTAAAGTGGTACTGCTTACTTATCCACTCCATCAACTTCATGATTATCAGGATAATTGAGAATATACTGGAGATTTAGTCATTTTCTTTAGACATCCTTAACAGACTTGTGTCTCTGTTTTTGGTTGTCACATTTTCTTCTTCTGACGCCTCTGTCTCATTCATGTAAAAACTGCGTCTGCAGGATTTTCAAGTTCATCAAAAGAATAACAATGTGTGTCACAAAGGTGACCGCTGAGATCCGGGTTTAGTTCCCGGTACTGGTAACTCTGGCTTGGTTACAGTCCCAGTGAACATAATTGGCCCTGTGCACAGGTGGGAAGCTTTTGAAAGGGTCATGTGTTTTGTTGCTGCATTAGTGATTCCTACTGGTAGGTCTAAGTGGCAGTAAGGTGGGATGGGGTCCAGGACGGGACCAGACAGAGTGAAGCACGGCGCATGAAAAGACACACCAAGAGACACCATGTGTATCGAAGGCATGGCTGTCTGCACCCTCCCCAGGTTAACAGTGGACGTTAGCAGTATGAAGGATCAAAGTAAAAATAATTTTGCATTCCAAACTGGGGAGAAGAGATAATGTAGTAATAATGAGATTGTCAGACTTTACTTTGCAGTTTAAATCTGTCTGGAGGTTAGAAACAGTATTGCTTTTGACTTATTCCATCCAGTCCATCATAGTTTTATAGACAGCGTGATAATGTGTTAAATTACCATTTACCTTTAAATGCACATCTTATACTTTTATGTCCTAGCTCCGTTTTATTGTGAAAAGGTGTCATCGGTCTAGGCCACTATTTTTCCAGCTGCCAGGAATCAGATAAATTAATCAGCTTTATTAAGTCTCTGGGACTTTCTGGTTTTTCGCCACATTTTGGTTAGAGAATATAAAGATGTATGAAGTTGCAATAAGCTTTCAGAGATGAGTGTTACTGATGTCATTCAGGTACAGTGATTAGTCGAAATAGTTGATGTAGCCGGTCTGATGAGAGGATCTTAGTAGGTTTTACCACAGTACCACATGTGCAGTAAACCCAATCAGATTGTCTTTGTCTTTGCACTGGGATGAAATGCTGCAGATGCTTTTGAAACTGTGTTGCTCTTCATGTGAACAAAATATAAATAAAAGGTGTTTTCTGAAGATGTTGGATTTTCTTTTTGATTAAAATACAAAGGACACTACTTGCTACGTACTTTCAACTTTACTTTCATTCTGAATGGACCTGTTGGTTTTTAGTCTCTGATCAACATAAAATGACTATTACTGCCATTATGTATTATCTAGTCATTAAACATTCCATGTTATTTTGAAATTGTGGGAAATTATTCTTTTCAAACGGTGACAGTCCAAATCAAGTTAAGCTGGAAACAAATATTAGCATTGGTTTTGAAATGGTACACATTTTTGGTGGAGTCTAGCCATGTTAGATTTAATTGCAGTGAGATCATTTTGTATAAAGTCCCCACAGATGTCAAAGAAAATCTCCATGAGATTTAGTGTTATTGCGTATGAGGAGGCACAAATGTGAGTATCAAAGTATCAAAACCACACTGAAAATACTATTAAGGGTCCTGCCTTAAAAACCTCACTTAGGTAAAATTATGTAAGTATTATCAGCAAAATCTAGGAATAGTAAAAATACCCATTATGCAGACAAATCTTCCGTGTCAATGGTTTTTTTAATGTTACTGCTGCATTAAAGAGGCTGTGTTGTGCTTTTAGGGGTTTTCCCTGTGCTTTAGTGTGTTATATACATTTTTTGTGCATATAAAAGATCTGAAAAGTGGCAAAACCAAAAATCCACACCAAAGGGAGTTACTGTCTCCCACAGAAAACACAGCTCCTGCGTTGTCTGATCTCTCGTTTGTATTCAGACTTTTCTTCCGCTTTCCTATGACATCATAGAGAACACAGCACCACCTATTGGCTCGGTGACAATCTAGTCCCGCCCCCCAAAACCTAGTGAATCCACCTCGCTGTCCGCCATTATTTACTTACTAACGTGACTCCTGTCGCTAATGTTAAGCCTTGTTTGAAGCCAACTAAGTAACAGGACAAGTAGTCTGGACTGGGGGGACAGGAGCTCAAATGGAGTGTGTTTTTTGAACATTAAAGCATGTAATACTATTATAGTAGACAACATACAATATGAACCTGAGAATGAGCATAATATGACCTCTTTAATGTGTATGTTACATTTTACTGCTACTTTATATACGGTTGGGTAGTTAATTCTACAACAGTGCATCATATTCTATGAGATCATCATATGTTCGTAGTGCTGCTGTCTTGTGAGATCTAAAAGTCAAGCATTTTCCAGCTAAGCCAAGGTTTTGTTTTAAACTTTGACAGTATATGGTTTTAAAAAAGTTTATTTAGCTAAGGAGTAAAAAGAACAATATTTGAACCTGAGATGTAGTGGAGAAGAAGTATAAAGTTACTTCAAATGGAAATACTCAAGTAAACTACAAGTACCTCTAATTTGTACTTAAAGATCCAGTGTGTAACACTGAGGAGGATCTATTGGTAGAAATGGGTATGTTTTCATTAGTGTATAATCACCTGAATATAGGAACTGTTGTGTTTCTCCCTTGGCCTTGGAAAGGGAAGGGGAAATGAGTAAGTGGCAGTCTGTAACTACATTGCTAGATGAACTAAATCCTTCACACTGTGCAGGAGGAAGTCCGTCCCAAAGAAACACAGTCAAAAAGGGAGCCTGGGGTTTGTAAAAACATGAGAAAAGCTTCAAAGATTATTCTTGACTTTGTTAACAGCAGTTGACAAAACAATCTTGCCACATGGGCCATTTAGTAGCTGTTTTGGAGCTTTTGATCGTATCAGAAGATTTTCCTTTTTTTCTGAACACTTGAAAATCGACTTGTCCATGTTGACATAAAAGTTTAGACTGAAAGTTGAATTCTTGACTTTGAGAAAGATGAAAAAAAATGTTGATCAACTCAAACAACTCAAAAACAAAAACCTTGACTCAAAGGCTTGGAGAAATGACGTGATAGCTGTTACTCCTCATCCAGTTTCACGAAGCTTTGTCACATTTGAGAACGGAAGTATTTTACGTGGATTGTTGCTTTTTAAAAATCTACTGTGAATCTTAAACTGCAAAACCTCTAAATGCCAACCACTCGGAGGATACTCTCTAAACACTGTAGGTTGTTCACATGTACAGTGAGATGCCATTTACATGATGCTTCTCAGTCGTACCACCAGAGGTCTTTCTAGCTCTTCTGGAAACTTGCAAACTGGATTCCTGCTTAAGAAGTTGGAGATTATGCTCATGTTTGTTTGGATATATTGTACTGCTGAAGATGTGGATTGTAAATTACTGTAAATGATTGAATTACACACTGGAGATGTTGTGGGAAATCATTTATCATTTAAATGGGCTTGAATCCGCAGTGGAAACCATTACTTTATGTCAAATCTGCAAAAAAGAATAAATCCTTTAGTCTAGTTATAAAAGGGATTTGTATAACTGTTTTGTGCATTTGAATCCAGCTTACCGTGACAAACTGTTCCTTCTATGTGTGTGTATGTTATATGTGTTTTAGAAACATTGTTTTGCTCCTTGAAGACTTGTTTTGGCAGAATGCCACGCAGCTGGAAGACATCATAGCGCCAGTATTTTCACCCTCATACTTTCTTTTTTGGCCAATTAACCAAACTGCACAAGGTATAAAGACAAATGTGGGCTTTGTATTGAAAGAAAAAAAGTAATACAAACGCAGTATAATAACCGAATAAGCTGTATGCTTTATGAGACCTGACAGACACCATAGGGCACAATACATTGTCTTTGTTTACTGGTAGTCGGGAACGTGTCATAAACTGTACAGTATAGTTTCAGTAACTTTACCTTCAATGATGACCATACATTGGACTTTTGTGGTCTTTTGTCATTGCTCCCAACATTATTTTCATTTGTTAGGATTCATAGCACACTGTAGCAGAAGAGGTTACTTTACACCTCTATCTTGTGCTGCAAACTCCTACAATCAGCAGATATGTAGAGCATAAACAACCTGCATAAATGATTAGAAAGAAGGTCAGGCTATATCACAGAACATCAGTCAAAAAGGCCAGGACACGTGCACAGATCATTTTCTACCCCCATGGAGTCACAACCCTCGCTGGAAGCACAACAACCATTTGAACTATGCAGCCCTGCTGGAGCATAGAGATGTCAGGTTGACACAATCAGCACAGCTGATCAAGGACAGTCACCTCAGCAGTCATTTTGATTTCTGATCACTCATACAGAAAGAGTTATGGAGAAAGTCTTTGTATGAGGAACCAAGAGCAACAGGTGAGCAGTGTGACTAGCCGATTAGGTGTGATGTTATGTTACAACACACGTCTGTCTAGAAATGGTGGCTATAGGCCTGCACATGTTGCTGCTCCAGTTTATAAGTTTTGGGAGAAATGGCCTGTAAGTTTTGGTGTTTTGAAGACTGTGACTGCAGAGTTGTACATTTTAAGGCAGCAAACTCAGCTATGTTTGATGAGATGTTGCTGACCAGCTGAACCACACTAATTCATGGAGGTGCAGCCTTGAACCGTGTGATGTAAACCATTTTAAGGTAGGTATTTAGGTTATTACTCTTTGCCATCTCACCATGAGTTGATACTAATCTAAGCTGGCAAATGTTCAGTCTCTCTGACCATTCAATTTTAGTCTTACCACTTTTACAAAAGCAGCATTTCCACAGGCAGTCTGATAAGGCTGGCTGAGTCGAAGATTATGTGATAACCTACATGCAACATAGATGTTAGGATAGGACACATCACATGGGTATGTCAAGCTGGCACCGTCATGAGTTTAGACTTCAATGTTCAAGATAGGTCTGTATCTATACTGACGTTGATTGAACTGGCAGAGGTCCAGAAGCACTGTGGAAGCATCCAATAGATCAGAGCAGCCATTTAAACAGCAGTCACTCCAGGTCATACTGCATGTGTTAAACATAAGGACTTTCCTCTGAAGCGTCATGCGGCCATTCAAATGATTTGTTAAAAATAATTAAGACTCAAACAGGCCTTGCTAGCACAAATTAATTCTTGTCATTATCTGTGAATCCAATTTGCACATCTTCTTCAGACAAAAAAAAAAAACGATTGAAAATTTGTGTTCTAAAATTTACTAGTTCTCACCCTAAGTCATGCTGCTAACAAGAGGCAGTAGAGGCTGCATGAGGTCAAAAGATGTAGCACATACCATAAATCATCATGACTTAAGATGATTCAACTGAAAATGGCCATGGTTCACCTCATGGTGGTTGTGCATTCCTGATAAACTCCCCTTTTATTAAAATATTGATCATTTATTCCTATCCTCTTAGTCAGAGGTAGAAGACTTTGCAGTTTTTTAGTAATTCGGTTCATGATAAATTGTTGGAAGCTTCTAGTTTGTGGTGTACGTGATTATCTGATCTTTAAAACATATCTTCATACGGTATCTTACATGTTTGGATTGAGGAAGAAGGCCCTGGTAGCTTCTAGAAAGGTCAGGGTTACATATTTTCATTGCAGAAAACCTCATAATATTTTCAGGGACTATGAAAAGCAGCCTGTAGCTTGTCACTTGACCATTGTGTGCTTTTGTGTTTATTTTATGGTAATATGAAAGTATCTTATAAATACCACCTTCAATTCTTAACCCTTCAAGTAGAGTTAAAATATGAAATGGCCAAAGTTGTAATAGAGTCAGAGCAGGTTTGTATTAGTTCACTAAAATGCAAAATCAGGAATCCAAGGTTTCCTTGCTGAAGGCTACCAGCCTGTCCTGCTTACCCACCCACTCATGCAAATGAACTAAAAGAGAAAATAAATAAAAGGTTAATCAGTGTTATAGTTAATAATTGGGTGTGGAGTAAGTGTAAGTGTTCTTGTGACAACAAGAAACAAATTTTAACCCAAAACTAGTCGGTTAAGTCCTGGAATAAAGAGAATAGAGATGTTAATGGTAAAGCCATTTAATGGAGCTGAGGCCCAAACTATTCAGGTGTAGAAAACTTCCTGACATCATGTCCTTCCTGCTTATTGGCCCATGAACAAGTCATACAGACTCTGAAAAGGTCCTCCATCCAACCTCAGAAAACATTTCAGTTTTGTTTCAAACAACTAGACCATATACCCTTGAGAATTACTTGTCTTACTTTTACATTCAAATATAAAGAAACAGAAAGTCTCAAATACTTCTGACATCCTCCATACGTTAGCCAATATCACCTAAGGAACCTTGCAACTTTAAGAGTAAGTTAAGAAGGAGAAACAGGCTAGATTGCATTTTTTGACATTTTTCTTTAAAAAATAACAAGGGCTTCCAGTTGAGAAAAGAAAATGGTTTTGGTCTTTATATCTAATTTTCTAATTTTTCCCATTCATGATAACAGTATAGGGAGGAGGGGGTATTTTTAATATAACTCACCTGTTTAAGTTCTGCATACTTCTGCGGCTGTTTTCAGTAACCAAGCTTCACTCAACCTACCTCAGTTCTGCCCACGCTCCGTGCATTTTTGGATTCGACGGATTAGACTAGAGTCAGGTCTTTCAAGATGGTGATGGCCAGAACCACCACAATTAGCGATTCACAATGCCTCATCAGAAACCTATGTGTGACGTCACAGAGATTACGTAAATTTTTATGTCTATGGTGGTGACAGATAAATTAATAATATAATAATAATCATTCCTCATGCCTCGTTCCTGTGCCAAAGACGCCGCG